ATTTGGAAGGAGAAATTTCTAGTAATTATATTATTATTTCTATTCATATTTACATATTTCTTATGCTTCTTTAGTTATCAAAGCAACGAACTCCGTCGTCTCCATTGTAAGTGATTCAATAATATTTAATATTGATGTACAAATAATTTTTATTTTAGATCATATTAACGTCAACTGGTGACGCAATGTTGTCGCTAACTATGTCGGTCATTTTCTTTTCTTTGTTTTCTGTTTTGTTTATTAATATATATATATATATATATTTTGATTACAATCTTTTTGTGGTTGACATAAATAGGTATAGATAACTAGACCTTCAAAGCTTGGTTTTTCATTACATCTTACCAAGAGATTAACCATCAACGTAAGACTCCCTTACACAAAATCAGGAGCACAGACGAAGCAGTTTTATTCCCTTATCAAGAATAATACAATACAGGTAGGATTTTAACAAGAGAGAGCAAGATTCTATACAGACCCAGGTTTTCGAAATATTATCTTCTCACTTACGTATTAACGTAGATAGGAGTATCAAATATATAATTGGAAAACCTAACAGATCAGTTGATGAAAAGTGAATACTTAGTCGTTGATGTTGAAACTAAATGTGTGATGAATTCTCTTTTATCTGAAAAATATTCAGATCGTGATATATGTCTTCCCATTATCACATTTTTCAAGTACATGAAAAACTTTTGTAAATCTATATACAGGTCTCTAGTACAAAATTCTTCCACACTAAGTAACATATCTTCCTGTTTTCATCTGCAGATCGATTATTTCGACACCAAGTTTCATAGAATCTTCTAAGTCTTCACTAGGCGATTAAATCTGTTAAGAATGCGCGTAAAGGAATCAATTACGATCTCATCGAAAAAATCTTAATTAATACGACTCTTTTTAGCATCTATTTAGTTAGTACTAGATGATCATTAAATAAGTAAGAAAGAAATAATTAATAGGTAATCAAAAGTACAAAGATAATTTATACATTACTTACTTTATTAGATCAGTTGAATTTATTTTAAGTTGTATCATAATTAAATTTTTCATTTTGAGAATCATCTATAAATTTATAGATCCCTAAAATTCAGGAATTTAAATAAATCAAGTTAATATCCTCACGAGACTCGATGTGACTTTTGCTGACACGAAAAAGTTTATTTTGTTTCATGACTTGCTCATCTCTATCTTTTGCGCCAAGATTTTGTGCATTAGATCGAAGCTAGAGAAGTGTGGAAGATGCAAAACTGACGAATTTTATTAGACTGTCTGTTCAGATTTACAACCATTTTAGTACTATTTAAACTTCCGACGTGATATCTATCAGGAAATTAAATGGTGTTATTCAGCTCACATACTGATTTGCTTTTATGGATGAGAAGATCCAGTTTCAACCAGAGGATGAGTTTGAACGATTTATCAGGACTTTGATCAATACAACTGACAGTTTTGTACAAGAGATTGATTTTAGATTTTAATATAAAATCTCGATACCCTTCTTATGTTTTATGACGTCTAAAAGATCTTTTGAACTAGCATATTATTGACTTTGAGCTTTCTAAACTATGGAAATTCTCTTCACCATTTAGAAGATTGTGTTTTAGCCCTTGGAATAAATGTTATCAGAGAGTTTTATAAACTGCTATTTTATCACTGTTACGAATCGCGATCGATAAAGATATTGATATGAAATACTTCACAAAGGTAATCAAAAAATCAGTCATACTCAAAAAATTTACTATTGGAATAATATGAAAATTTCGATTCTTTTTTTCTAGATCAACAGTAAACGATTGGTAAGGACGCTCAAAAAATCGTGTTTTTATCTCGATGTTGTATTTTGAAATATAATATTTTTTTTGATATTTGTGTATTTCAGATTTATACGTTTTTAGATTTCTCATTTATTTCTCGTATTTACCCATTAATTATTATTTGGCAAATTGCGATGTCAACTTTCAACAATCGATTAGAACCAATAGCTGTTATAGGTATAGTATGTGAATTCGCAGGTGATATTTATTGTGCAGATGATTTATGGTATACATTAAAAGAAAGCCAAGATGTTGGTAGTGCAACACCAATTGATCGATTTGATCTTAAATCATTTACTGCTCATATGATTAATATGGATAATAATGGACAACTTCATCAAAAACTTCTTCGTGCTGGTTATTTTATGTCAAATCAACAATGAGATAAATCTAAACTAAATTTTTTGGTTTTGTCAGATGCTGAACCAGCCAATATTGATCCATGTCATAAACCACTTATATTAAAATTTGTTGATTTACTTGATGGTGATGGATACAGTGTTGAAAAAATGTCAGGTACAAAAACATCAGTGCATACTGGATAGTTTTCAACAGATCATGCAATTGCAGCAGCTCGTATGAGACCTGAACATCGAATCAAGATTTTATGGACCCAATAGTTTATTATATCATTTTAATTTACATGGCCCAAATGTATCATCAGATGCTGTTTGTTCATCTTCTTGAGAAACTTTACATATGGCTGTGCAATGTCTCCGTACAAATGAAGCTGATATGGCTGTATGTGGTGGTGTTACTGGGTTCTTACGTCAGAAAGTTTTCTACAACATTCATTTATTGGTGCACAATCACCTGGTGGAAGAAGTCGATCATTTAGTGTTGATGCTAATAGTTATGCTAAAGGTAAATTCAGTTGATTAGTTTTTTTATTTAGAAATATATTTCAATTTCAATATTGTGTCTAGATGATGGTCTTGGTCTTTTATTATTAAAACAATTAAGTGATGCTGAACGTGATGGCGATCCAATTGAAGCTAATTGTTTAGGTCGATTTTTTAATCGATCAAATCTTGATCCACCATTATTATTAGATTTAATTAAAAGTAATTTAGGACATACAGAAGGTGCAGCCGGTGTTATATCGCTTATTAAAGTTGCTATGTGTATGTATTATCGTGGTATTACAGCAAATATGCAATTTACTTCACTTAATTCAAAAATAGATGCACAAAAATATAATCTACATATTCTTCAAAATTTTATACCATTTCCATCCGTTTGAAATAATAGAAAAATAGCTATTGGTGTTAATTGATTCGAAACGGTTGGTTCAACGACACATTCTATTATTGAAGAATATCAACCAATAAATAAAACATCAACTGAAAATGACCATATCGATGATGGAAATCATATTAAAAGCAAACAAGAATATTTTATTTTTATTTTTCAAGTGAGTTCTTTTTTCTTTTCATTCATTAAATAATTTATTTCTCTTATTCAGTAAAAAGTCGTCAATATCTTAACGATCAATTAATGATATAGATCATAATGATGATCAAGCTTTTCTTCAACATATATCTCAACAACTTCTTCTTAAAAGAACTATTAGTTATACACATTCAGCAATCTTTGTTTCCTCAGTCATCAACAATTTCAAGAACAAATTAATGCTTTTCTTACTGAACAAGCATCATCAGGCCTTTTAATCATATCACGTCCAACAAAATCATTCGCACAGAAAATATGTTTTGTTTTTAGTGGTCAAGGTCCACAATGGTGGGCTTTGGGTAGATAATTTTATGAAAATGAACCATTATTTAATAAATGGATTCATTTAATTGATGGAGAAATGACAAAAATTAATAACGGTGAATGGAGATTATTGGAAGAATTAATTGGAAAGAAAACTGAACAAGAATCTCGTATTAATGAGACAAATATTGTCCAACCAACATTATTTGCTATACAAGTTGTATTAGCAGCTTTACTTGTTTCTTGGAATATTTATCCATCATTTATAATATCATATAGTGGTGGTAATCAAGCAGCTACTTTTGTTGCTGATCGTTTAAGTTTAAAAGAAACTGTTCGTATATTAGCTGTTTGAATGAGTGAAGAAGTAGAAAACAAACTTTTGAAAGGTATTGAACATTTGGCTTGTATTGTTGTTGTTAATAGTCCTCGTTCAGTCACAATAAGTGGTGATGAAAAAACTATTGATGAAAAACAACAAATTCTTTCAATCTCATACCCAAATATATTTAAAGCATATGTTCGTATTGAAAATGCATTTCATTCATATCAAATGAATAGATTTGATATTGAAAAAGATGTGATTATCATTAAAAAATATTCGTGGATATTCAATAAAAGATCAAAAACAAATCTTCAATCCGATATGTGCAAAAGCAAAACTTTATTCAAGTGTTACTGATGATAAAATCAATGATAATATACCAGTTGATAGTCAAATGTAAGACAAACTGTTCGATTTTATGATACTATAACATTAATTATAAAAGATGAAGCAGCAAATATTTTTCTTGAAATTTCACCACATCCAGTTTTAGCAAAATCAATTCGTGAATGTTATGAATTAACAAATCAACAACAATCATCACCACCACTTATTCTTCTAACATTAAAACGAAAAGAAAATGAACAAAGAACATTACTTACTAGTTTAGCACAACTGACAACATCATCTCATGTATGGCAACAATATTTTCATACTCGTCAAATTTTACCGTTGAAAAATCATGAAGAATATTTTGATAATTTTCCATTATATAAATTTAATTTGAGTCCATGTTGATATGAATCAAAAGATTCATCTATACAACGTTTAGCTAATCGTATTCAAACTCATCCATTACTTGGTATTCGTCAATTAAATGATCAGACAAGTGCAACATGGAAAAGTCTTATTAATATTAATTTAGCACAACATTCTTTCTTAAAAGATCATAAAATTCAAGATGCAATTCTTTTCCCGGTTGTTGCTTATCTTGACCTTGCAACAGCTGCTTGTCAACAATTACTTTCATCAAAAGAAGATGATCAACAACAACAACCGACATTTATTTTTGTAGATGTTAAATTTGTTAAAGTACTTATTCTTAATGAACATGAATTGATGGAAGTATTTGCACAAATAATTATGCCAATGCGTGAATGGTATATCATATTTTGTAATCAAGATAATCTTAATAAATATTCATTAAATGAATTTACTTTACATTCACAAGGTAAAATTGATTCTAAACAACAAAAATCATTAACAATACCTGATAGATGGACAACACAAGATATACGAAGTACTTATGCACATCTTTCAACACGTGCTGATCCATATGCATCTAGTTTTGAAAAAATCAAAACATTACGTGGTACTTCAACTACAATTATATCTCAACTATCAAATGATGATAATAATTGTTCATCTTATTATCTACTTCATTCATATCTAGTTCTAGTACCACGTGTTGAAACAACATTTCTTCCAGTACATATTCAAAAATTTATTTATTCAAATAAAATAAAAATAAAAATCAATCAATCAACAAATATCGAAGTATGTGGAAATTATCATGATAATATATGTGGTATAGGCCAAGAAGAAATATATAATCTTGATTTATGGATATTTCCAATAGATAATAAAATAGAAGAACCAATATTTACATTTGAAGGTGCTGTTATTCAACAAGTTCAAGGTGCACATTCTGGTCGATGGTCAATGAAAAAAACAATTTATGACAAATTAAATCTAACAACTGATTTACCTAATAAAGATCATAAACTATATTTAAATACAATTATAAAAGATTATTGTATGAAAAGAGTATGGACTGATTCACCAATAATAAAAGATAAATCAGGTTTACTTCCATCACCCAAAATTATTCTTAATAATCAACTTAATTCTATTAGTAATCAAGATTTAATTGAATCCATAGAACCATTTAATGAACTGGCTGCTTATCATGCTCAAATGGCAATTAAAAATTTTGATTTAAATCAACAACATCATCCATTATTAAATGCATGTCGTTCTCTTATTTCAACTTTACTTTCGGAACAAATAGTAACATGGCATTCAATACAACTTGGTTTTATTCAATTATGCGAACGTTTTCCTCGTTTAAAACCATTTTTAATCATATTAAATAAACATGGTTTACATTAAAAAGATATTCTTAATGGAGAAAAAAATGGATTAGATATATTTTTTGGTGATGATGGAATTGGTCAAATTTTTCGTTCGATTTGTCAATATTTGCAATTACAATATGAACAACAACAAACGAAAGATAATTCATTTGAGAATTATCAATTACGTATATTTTGGTTAACTGATAATGATTGTTCAGATATTTTACCTATTCTTGATTTTTTTCTGAATTTATCACAACAAATAGGTTTATTAATTGATTTGTATTATGTAAATTCTGATCCAACACAACTTGCAAATGCTCAACAAACATTTAATATATATATAATTAATCAAACAAAAAAGTTATCTATTATTTATGATGAAACAATTGATTTATATGATAGTAAAACATTTGATATTATATTTTCTTCCAATCAACTTCAAGAAAATCAAGATTTAATAAATTCTTTAATTGATCTTCGTCGTTTACTTGAATTAGTTCATATTCCTCTTTATTTTGATCTTACTTTTGGTTTTATTGATCAATGGTGATCATCTGATAATGTTGATGATAATAATCGTGTATTAAATAATATTGGACAATAGACAAAACTATCAAAATGAAAATACATTAATTATCAGTCAAAAAACAACATCGAATGAAATATTACAAAGACTTGATGAAAGAAAAAATCAATCATGGTTAATATTTACTAAAGATAATGAAAATAATAAAAATAATTCATATTCATAATTCAACTGTAGATATTATTTGTTCTTCAATATCAATTCTATTAACTACTTATAAACAAGTATCTATTATTTTTGCATGGCAACTTGATCAAGTATTATTGAATGAAAATAATGATGATTTAGCATTGAAACAAAATGAAGAACTTCTACGTGCAACACTATCATGTATTCTTCAAATAATTCAAAGATCATCACCATATTTTTATCCATTTGTACACGTTCTTACAAATAATGCTCAATTTAATAATGATTCTAATCTTAATATAATTCCATCACCATTTATTGGTCTTGCACGAAGTTTAATAACTGAATATGAACGAAATCGATTAAAACTTACTGATCTTCAAACATCATTAAATAATAAATTAATATTTATTTATACTTTAATAGAATACATGATTAATTCAAGATATTCAACTGATACTTGTGAAGTTGTTCTTCGTCTTAATCATACAAATCAAAATGAAGTTCAACATTTAACATGGCATTATGAAATGTTACAAAAATATGTTGATGATGAACAAGAGAAATCTAAATTCGAACAAATTTCTATTGTTCCTAAACGAGAAGTTGATCAAAAATTATTTCGACCTTGTGTATTACCATCTCATTTTCTTTCTAAATTAGCATGGATTGAAGAAGATAAAGAAAAAGAATTATTACCATCAGATATGGTAGACTGATTTCGCTGGATTTTGTTGATCATATATCATCTCTCATTCATATTATACTTAAAGAAACATTTGATCTATTTGTTCAACGTAAATTACGTGCTGTTGAACCAACAGTTAGTTATGAACCATCTCAAGTAATATAAGCATGATTAAGATGTAATAGTGGTCAAGTTATGAGTAAAACTGTTTTTCGTATAACTTCATCTGATCAGCCATCGAATATTAATGAAAAATAATCGAATAATTTATTAAAAGGTAATCATATTTGATATTTTCTTTTCTTTTTTTTTTTTCGTTTCTTTTCGTTCTGTTTCGATCGCATCGAAATATTTATTCATACTCGAAAGAAAGGAAAAAAAAAGATATCCGTTGACATTTTTCACTTTTTCTCATAATTTTGCGGGTGGGTGTGGATGTATATCTCTTCTTCTTTTCCGTTCACATCTACACCCACCATCGATCCTAATAACGCTGACCGATACTTCTTTGTTTTATATAGTCGTATGTGATCAACTAGTATAGGAAAGAGATAAACTAAAAGAATAGAAATAAAAACACTTCGTTAGTCTTACTGCTGGACCCAAACTTAAATCCAAACCTAAACCGGCAACCCGTTTGAGTTTGAATTTGAGTTTAGTGCATGTCTACCTAGAGCTACACTTTCACCTATCCTTTTGTCTGAATTCATTGTGTAGTAATAGAATATATTTATCATCTATATATGTTTGTTATTCTCTTCTTCATTTTTGCCTTCTCTTTTAATAATAATTTCGATAAGAATAATTCAGGAAAAAAATTTAACGAATATTCGTTTAATTAAATGTTTGAAATAATGGTCGTCGTTATTTAAACATAGAATTGTGTTCGTTCAATTGATTTATCGAAATATTTTCTATATTTCTCTAGTTTATTTAAGAAAATAGATGAAATTAAATATAAGGTTCATCTAATGATTGATTATATCAATAGAAATATTTGATCTATCATTATCATCATGGATTTTATTGTCATGAACTCGGTATGAAGATTTCTAGTGTTTGATTTATTCGATAAGAGATAATGCGTAATTGCTGATATAATACTGATAGTTAATCGTCTTGAGGATGAGTATATATTGTTTTTACTGTCTATTTGACATTGATATTAAAAGAAAATTGTTATTTTCTAACGAATTCTTCGATATTTCGATATGAAACTAAATCGAACGAGCATAAATCAATGATAAGAATGATCAATATATTTGATAAAAGTTCGAAGAATATTTTCAAATAAAAGAAAAGCTCAATAAAAATATTAAATCTTAGACGAAAAGTTTTTTCCATTGTTCTTCTTTGATATTTCTATTTAAACATAATTTCTATTAATAACTATACCGAAAATATGAAAATATTTATGTAGTTATTTCTGAATCGATTTATCAAGGATAAGAAAAAAAAATATTTCGTTCCAAATATCGTTATTTGGACAACGAAGAAAAGTATGAGAAATATAATTAACTATCGTCGAAGAAATGAAGAATATGAATATTGAATCTTTCTCTATAGAAAAATATTTTATTATTATAGAAATTCGTTATAATCGATTGTTTTTTTAAGCGAAAATTCTTTCTTTTCTATTGATTTTTAAACATTTCTATAATTTTTAGGTAAGATTTTCATTAAAAACAATCACTTTATATTCTTTTCTTTTAACATAAAATAATAATACTAAGAAAGTTAAATGAACTGAATAGATATTTTACAATAAGAAAACATTTTCAAGTAACAACTCATAATTAAAAATCTCTTTCTAAATCTATATACGAATGAATTGAAAATATTCATCTATTATTTTATAAAAACCTTTTCATTCTATTGTTAATATATTGTACAATATTATATTTAAAGAAAATATGTTTCAATTTTTCTGATTCCTGCTATCAAATTATCGAACGTACGAGAGATTTTTTTAAGAATCTAAATTAAAAATTTGAGATTAAATCATGTTAATTAATCTACAATACATTTAATGCGGAATTTTTTCACCAGATTTTTAATCTTAGTGTTTAATCTTGTCTGTATAATAAGAAATTTTCGTGTCAATTACAACTGACCTTGGTTGTAAGAAAATTATCCGATGTACTCAAAATCAGTAATTAATCATCAATGATTTTCTTCTTCGTTTTTAACGGTAAACTAGGAGATTATTTACACGTGAACTTTAATTTTACTGTTAAATTTAGAAGGTCTTATTACTAATTTAATTAATTGATCAATGTTTTTATTATAAAATTGAATATTCACATTAATTTATACATAGAAATTATGTAATAAAATAGATAAATAATAACTCTATATGCAATTTGATATATTGAGAAAAAAATAAATTTGAAAAAACATCAGTGAGAGGCGGAGTTATATATTAATATAAAATCATCTAAAATAAACTACGTGTTGTTCCAAAGAAACGTTTTGAAACGAATGATTGTGATGACGAGCCTTATAGGACGATCATTTTTTTTAAAAATTATTCGATGTCATTTATGTCATAGTAGTCACATTCATAACAAAACTAATCTTTTCTTTTTTTGCTTCAAATGTCTGTGATTCTATTTCACTCTTCAATTTATAAATTCTTAAATAATTAGTTTGTAGTTTATAACTGATTAGTAAAATCAATGATTGAACACGTTGTCATGACATAAGAATGTCACTATGAAATTTGTCGGGCATTTTTATAGGATTTATTTTGTAATGGTGATAATTTAAATAACAGTTGAACAGAATGATTAGTATTTCAGTTCAATCTATAATATTTTAAGAGAATTAGAAATTAATAAATCTTGCCTTATATTTCGTGTAACACAAATAGTTTTTTTTATTTACGTACAAATTTGAGTAACTTTTTCATTGTCTTTTGTCACCTGTATCATTATGTGTCGAGGTTATTTTTCATTTGGCAGAACAGGAATTGTAGGATTGACTGTAGATATAATCTATGAACAAACAATTAATTAGAATTATTTTCTTCAAGTATATATTAAAAATGAATGATCATTTCTTTATCTTTGATTTCTATACGATACGAAACGGTCAATATATGTACACAAATAAAATCAATATTGATTTTATTTCGAAAGAGAAAAAGAAATTCTACAAATGATGCGTTTAAAATGAACAAGATAGATTTGATACTAAAATAGATCCTTTCAAATATATCATATTTACATTTATCTTTACTTACACTTGTTTTTTCATTATAAAACTTAGATGAACAAGCGTTTAAAATAAAAATTTGAAATGAATGACCATCATTAACTCTTTTTATTTTGATGATCATTTAATAGTTATTAGAACATAATGTTAAGATTTCTTGACTATATCATTTATTAAATCAGTTTTAACTCAACAAACAACTCACACTTATTATTTTCTCTTTCTCGAAGTTAAAGAAATTTTAATTGAAGTGATAGAATTACAGACCATTTATAATAGATCGCTGAATTGCAGATGAGTTTGATCATAAAGAAGGGCGATGTCGCTGGACAAGTCATTAGAAATCGAAATAGTTAAAAAATCTAAGATAATTAATTCTATACTGAAAAATAAATAAGTAAATAAAGATTTTGATTGTATTTAAAAATTGAGTTGATTTGTCTTCCATAAATAAAATCGACAGAATAACATTCTTTTTCTCTTTTCTTTACATGACTTATCTATGTGTTTTGGTTCATTGGTTTTCTTAACCACATATGCTTTTTAGTAAGAGCAATCAACGACAATATTAAAGAATAAACGTAAAGAAGAGTGACCTTATAGATGATTGTTTGACAGAACAAGAAAAAATGAGAATTGTAAGCTCTAGAAATAATTTTTTTGTCGTTACGAACAAAATAACAAAATGCAACCACGTAGAAAAAAACGTGTCTCTCAGAATATTTTCAAATATCGAAATAAAACGACTTTTACGTATCGAACCGTGTTCTAATCTTATCTTAAGATTTCGATTAACAACTGTTAAAAATAAAACATTTATATTCTGATATTCGAATAGCTGAAAAGAAAATGCTTCATTTCAAATTGATATTAATATAATATAAAATAAAGAAGAATTTGATTATTTTAATTTTATCTCATTTCTTAAATAACTAATTAAACATTTCGAGAGAATCAAATTCTTTTTATTTAATATTTTACTTTATATTTGGAGATTGTTAGAATAAAATACTTTAATTATTCTCATTTAAGAAATGTAAATATTCAGTTTTAAGATGTTCGAACTGGAAAACATTTTCTATATGATATTAAGCTATTAGTATAAATGAGTTTAAATTCGACTTCCTAAGTCACCCATTTTATTAAAAATTTCTCTAATTAAAAGAAGATTTTGAATTTTATTCACATTTCTTATCTCAACCTTCAATCAATATTTATTTGAAAGAACTTTCTTTGATGAAATCTTCTTATATTTATTGAATAATTTCTTTGATAAATCCATACTAATTCGCATTGTCAAATTCGCTTTGTAACTCGAAATAACCTTAATTTTTAACTTTATTACTTTTCATTATTTGAACTATTTTTTTGAATTTTATATTAAACTATAAAAAATATTCGACGTACTCAAAGGTATCCAGACAATGTAGGATAAGACCAATGAAAATTTTAGTTTAACTTGATAAAATCGAACAGATCAAGCAACTCTGTCGTTCATCACCTGAAATTGATAAGTAGTTCAATTCCTATCAATGAAATTTGTTCATCATTGAATTTTATCAAAACTTTTCAATCTCGTTTTAAAAGTGTTACTTGAAATATTTTGTAAAGAAAAAAATAATTTCTTTGTGTAATCATATGAAAGGAGACTCTTTCAAATCTTGTTTCATATGGTCAAAACAATATCATGTTTTTATTTTCAATATAACGCAAGAAAGAAAACGAACAAATACTTATGGACCATCGAGGATACAACAAGTATGTCTTTTATCTATTTGTAAGTGTTGGATAAGGATCAATCTTTATCACATCACC